GTCCAAGCCCCTTGCACACAAAGCCTCTTTTACCCCCTCCCTCCATCCTATCCTAGGACGACCCCTACCTCTCCTCCCCTCCACTACAGATTTATACACACTCCAAGTCATTCTAGTTTGCTCCAACCTCTCTAAATGACCAAACCACCTCAACAACCCCTCCTCAGCCCTCTGACTAATACTGTTAGAAACCCTACACCTCCTCTTAATCTCCAAACTACGGATTCTCTGCATTATATTCACACAGCATATTGCCCTCAAACACATCTCCACTGCCACCAGCCTTCTCCTTGTTGCAACATTCACCAACCATGGTTCACACCCATGTAAGAGTGCTAGTACCACTATACTCTCATACATTCCCTTCTTTGCTTCCATGGATAACGTTCTTTGTCTCCACAAATACCTCAGTGTACCACTCGCCTGTTTTCCTTCATCAATTCTATGGTTAACCTCATCCTTCATAAACCCATCCACTGACACATCAACTCCCAAATATCTGAAAACATTCACTTCTTCCATACTCCTTCTCTCCAACGTGATATCCAATTTTTCTTTATCTAAATCATTTAATACTCTCATCACCTCACTCTTAACTACATTCACTTTCAACTTTCTCCCTTTACACACTCTCCCAAACTCGTTCACTAACCTTTGCAACTTTAGAATCTCCCAAAAGCACAGTATCATCAGCAAAAAGCAACTGTCAACTCACAGCTTGTGTTCGATTCCCCAGTATTTAATTTATTATTATTGATATTATTATTATTATTATTATTATTATTATTATTATTATTATTATTATTATTATTATTATTATTATTATTATTATTATCATTATTATCATTATTATTATTATTATTATTATTATTATTATTATTATTATTATTATTATTATTATTATTAAACCATGTATGCTTCCAGAGAAAAACAGGTCTGATTCCTCGGATCAAAATACTGCTCCATGAGAGGTAAACAACACAAGAAGTTATGATAACTGTCGACAAAAATTTATAAATAACTGATAACATATAACATGATGTGATAAGTTATTACAGAGGCCACATGAGTTATTAAATTGATCACATGAAGTCACATGAGTTATTGCATAGATCACATGAGTTAATGTGGTGGTCACTGGAGGTCACATGAGTTAATGTGTAAGTCACATGAGTCATAACAGAGGTCACATGAGGTCACATGAGTTAATGTGTAAGTCACATGAGTCATAACAGAGGTCACATGAGGTCACATGAGTTAATATGTAAGTCACATGAGTCATAACAGAGATCACATGAGGTCACATGAGTTAATATGTAAGTCACATGAGTCATAACAGAGATCACATGAGGTCACATGAGTTAATGTGTAAGTCACATGAGTCATAACAGAGGTCACATGAGGTCACATGAGTTAATATGTAAGTCACATGAGTCATAACAGAGATCACATGAGGTCACATGAGTTAATATGTAAGTCACATGAGTCATAACAAAAATCACATGAGATCGCAAAAGTTACTGAAAAGGTCACCTAAGGTCACATGATATAATATGGAGGTCACATAAGTCATAACAGATATTACATGAGGTCACATAAGTTAATATAATTTGCAGGTGTGGGCACAAGTGAGTGCAAAAGATGTGTGGGTGAGTACACTGTGCGTGGGTGGATACACTGTGTGTGGCAGGTGTAAGGATGGTAGTACACACACTACACTGTGTGTGGCAGGTGTAAGGATGGTAGTACACACACTACACTGTGTGTGGGAGGTGTAAGGATGATAGTACACACACTACACTGTGTGTGGCAGGTGTAAGGATGGTAGTGCACACACTACACTGTGTGTGGCAGGTGTAAGGATGGTAGTACACACACTACACTGTGTGTGGCAGGTGTAAGGATGGTAGTACACACACTACACTGTGTGTGGCAGGTGTAAGGATGGTAGTACACACACTAACACTGTGTGGGGCAGGTGTATGGATGGTAGTACACACACTACACTGTGTGTGGCAGGTGTAAAGATGGTAGTACACACACTACACTGTGTGTGGAAGGTGTAAGGATGATAGTACACACACTACACTGTGTGTGGCAGGTGTAAGGATGGTAGTACACGCACTACACTGTGTGTGGGAGGTGTAAGGATGATGATACACATACTACACTGTGTGTGGGAGGTGTGAGGATGATAGTACACACACTACACTGTGTGTGGCAGGTGTAAGGATGATAATACACATACTACACTGTGTGGGAGGTGTAAGGATGGTAGTACACACACTACACTGTGTGTGGGAGGTGTAAGGATGATAGTACACACACTACACTGTGTTTGAGAGGTGTAAGGATGGTAGTACACATACTACACTGTGTGGGAGGTGTAAGGATGGTAGTACACACACTACACTGTGTGTGGAAGGTGTAAGGATGATAGTACACACACTACACTGTGTGTGGGAGGTGTAAGGATGATAGTACACACACTACACTATGTGTGGGAGGTGTAAGGATGGTAGTACACACACTACACTGTGTGTGGGAGGTGTAAGAATAGTAGTACCCACACTACACTGTGTGTGGGAGGTGTAAGGATGGTAGTACACACACTACATTGCGTGTGGCAGGTGTAAGGATGGTAGTACACACACTACACTGTGTGTGGCAGGTGTAAGGATGGTAGTACACACACTACACTGTGTGTGGCAGGTGTAAGGATGATAGTACACACACTACACTGTGTGTGGTAGGTGTAAGGATTGTAGTACACACACTACACTGTGTGTGGCAGGTGTAAGGATGGTAGTACACACACTACACTGTGTGTGGGCAGGTGTAAGGATGATAGTACACACACTACACTGTGTGTGGCAGGTGTAAGGATGATAGTACACACACTACACTGTGTGTGGCAGGTGTAAGGATATAGTACACACACTACACTGTGTGTGGGAGGTGTAAGGATGATAGTACACACACTACACTGTGTGTGGCAGGTGTAAGGATGATAGTACACACACTACACTGTGTTTGAGAGGTGTAAGGATGGTAGTACACATACTACACTGTGTGGGAGGTGTAAGGATGATAGTACACACACTACACTGTGTGTGTGAGGTGTAAGGATGATAGTACACACACTACACTGTGTGTGGCAGGTGTAAGGATGGTAGTACACACACTACACTGTGTGTGGCAGGTGTAAGGATGGTAGTACACACACTACACTGTGTGTGGCAGGTGTAAGGATGGTAGTACACACACTACACTGTGTGTGGCAGGTGTAAGGATGGTAGTACACACACTACACTGTGTGTGGCAGGTGTAAGGATGGTAGTACACACACTACACACTGTGTGTGGCAGGTGTAAGGTTTGGTAGTACACACACTACACTGTGTGTGGCAGGTTGTAAGGATGGTAGTACACACACTACACTGTGTGTGGCAGGTGTAAGGATGGTAGTACAACACTACACACTGTGTGTGCAGGTGTAAGGATTCTAGTACACACACTACACTGTGTTTTGGCAGGTGTAAGGATGGTAGTACACACACTACACTGTGTGTGTCAGGTGTAAGGATGGTAGTACACACGCTACACTGTGTGTGGCAGGTGTAAGGATGGTAGTACACACACTACACTGTGTGTGGCAGGTGTAAGGATGATAGTACACACACTACACTGTGTGTGGCAGGTGTAAGAATGGTAGTACACACACTACACTTGTGTGGCAGGTGTAAGGATGGTAGTACACACACTACACTGTGTGTGGCAGGTGTAAGGATGATAGTACACACACTACACTGTGTGTGGCAGGTGTAAGGAGGGGAAAGTACACACACTACACTGTGTGTGGCAGGTGTAAGGATGATAAGTACACACACTACACTGTGTGTGGGAGGTGTAAGGATGATAGTACACACACTACACTGTGTGTGGCAGGTGTAAGGATGGTAGTACACACACTACACTGTGTGTGGCAGGTGTAAGGATGGTAGTACACACACTACACTGTGTGTGGGAGGTGTAAGGATGATAGTACACACACTACACTGTGTGTGGCAGGTGTAAGGATGGTAGTACACACACTACACTGTGTGTGGCAGGTGTAAGGATGGTAGTACACACACTACACTGTGTGTGGGAGGTGTAAGGATGATAGTACACACACTTACATTTGTGTGTGGCAGGTGTAAGGATGTAGTACACACACTACACTGTGTGTGGCAGGTGTAAGGATGGTAGTACACACACTACACTGTGTGTGGCAGGTGTAAGGATGGTAAACACACACTACACTGTGTGTGGAAGGTGTAAGGATGGTAGTACACACACTACACTGTGTGTGGCAGGTGTAAGGATGGTAGTACACACACTACACTGTGTGTGGCAGGTGTAAGGATGGTAAGTTACACACACCTACACTGTGTGTGGCAGTGTAAGGATGGTAGTACACACACTACACTGTGTGTGGCAGGTGTAAGGATGGTAGTACACACACTACACTGTGTGTGGCAGGTGTAAGGATGGTAGTACACACACTACACTGTGTGTGGCAGGTGTAAGGATGGTAGTACACACACTACACTGTGTGTGGCAGGTGTAAGGATGGTAGTACACACACTACACTGTGTGTGGCAGGTGTAAGGATGGTAGTAAAACACACTACACTGTGTGTGGCAGGTGTAAGGATGGTAGTACACACTCTACACTGTGTGTGGCGGGTGTGTAAGGAGGTAGTACACACACTACACTGTGTGTGGCAGGTGTAAGGATGGTAGTACACACACTACACTGTGTGTGGCAGGTGTAAAGGATGTTAGTACACACACTACACTGTGTGTGGCAGGTGTAAGGATGGTAGTACACACACTACACTGTGTGTGGCAGGTGTAAGGATGGTAGTACACACACTACACTGTGTGTGGCAGGTGTAAGGATGGTAGTACACACACTACACTGTGTGTGGCAGGTGTAAGGATGGTAGTACACACACTACACTGTGTGTGGCAGGTGTTTCAGACACTGGTGCTGCTACGTGATCTGTGTTGTAATAACAGTGTGGAACATTTGATATGCAGCTGTTCTAAGACTCTACGTGGGTGCAGGTGGGCGGGAGGTGGGTGCAAGTGGGTGCAGGTGGGCGTGGGTGCCCATGCTGGTGCGTAATAAGCTTGGGTATTACTTATTATCATCATGGGTAAGGTCGTCACAGAACCCATGTTGACACAGTGATGATGGTGGCGGTGCCAGGGAGCCGAGAACCTGCAAGTAGGGGGTCAAACATCACTACTGTACCCTGTTGCATGATACACTACCATTATTGTAGGATACAATACCCCTGTTGTATGATAAAATACAGCTATTAACCTATGCTAAAATACGGTATTTTCATTGTGATACATTACTCTTATTGTATGATAAAATACAGCTATTGTATGATACATTAACCTATGCTAAAATACAGTACTCTTATTGTGTGATACAGTACTCTTATTGTATGATATAGCACCCCTATTGTATGAAACAGTACCCTATTGCATGATACAGTACTGTATTGTATAATACAGTACCTCTATTATATAATACAGTGCATCTATTGTATGATACAGTACACCTAATGTATGATATAGTAACCTATTGTAGTTTACAGTAACCTATTGTATGATAAAATACCCTCTTGTATGATACAGTAATGTTTCATATACTTTATTGTATGATGCAATATCCCTATTGTATGATACAGTGTCATTATTGTATGTTACAGTACACCTATTGCATGATGCAGTACCCCTATAGTACGATACATTGTCATATTGCATTAAACAGTACCCTATACAGTACCCTATTGTATTGTACAGCACTCGTTTTGTATGGCACAGTGCTCCTATTATATGATACAGCACCCTATTGTATAATAAACTATACTATTGTATGACAGAGCACCCGTAGTTTATGATACAGTACCCCTAATGTATGATAGGTACCCTGTTGTGTGATACAGTACCTTATTGTATGATACAGCACCCTATTGTATGATAAATTACACTATTGTATGATACAGTACCCTGTTTCTTAATACATTATCCTGTTGTATAATAAAGCACCCCTGTTGTATGATATACTCCCATATCGTATTAAACTACCCCTGTTCTATAATACAGTACCCTATTGCATGATACAGTACCCCAATTTTATGATACACTACCCCTACTGTATGATACAGTACATCTATTGTATGATACAGTACCCTATTGTATGATACAGTAACCTATAGAATGATACAGCACCCCTATTGCACGATACATTACCACATTGCATTAAACAGTGCCCCTATTGTAAGATACAATACCATATTGTATGATACAGTACCCTATTGTATGATACAGTATACTATTGTATGATATAGTACTCCTGTTGTATGATACAGTAACCTTACTGTATCATACAGTACCCTACTGTATGATACAGTACCCTATTGTATGATACAGTACCCCTACTGTATGATACAGTAAGTAAATTTACTTACAGGATTCTTGACCTTTGTAACTTGTGAGTTTATTACCTTTGTACCCAGTTCAGCTGTCAGAACTTTGGTGTACAGTCCCTGGACCCATTATGTACCTCTGTAATGTTGGTGTACAGTCCCTGGACCCATTATGTACCTCTGTAATGTTGGTGTACAGTCCCTGGACCCATTATGTACCTCTGTAATGTTGGTGTACAGTCCCTGGACCCATTATGCACCTCTGTAATGTTGGTGTACAGTCCCTGGACCCATTATGTACCTCTGTAATGTTGGTGTACAGTCCCTGGACCCATTATGTACTCTGTAATGTTGGTGTACAGTCCCTGGACCCATTATGTACCTCTGTAATGTTGGTGTACAGTCCCTGGACCCATTATGCACCTCTGTAATGTTGGTGTACAGTCCCTGGACCCATTATGTACCTCTGTAATGTTGGTGTACAGTCCCTGGACCCATTATGTACCTCTGTAATGTTGGTGTACAGTCCCTGGACCCATTATGTACCTCTGTAATGTTGGTGTACAGTCCCTGGACCCATTATGTACCTCTGTAATGTTGGTGTACAGTCCCTGGACCCATTATGTACCTCTGTAATGTTGATGTACAGTCCCTGGACCCATTATGTACCTCTGTAATGTTGGTGTACAGTCCCTGGATCCATTATGTACCTTTGTAATGTTGGTGTACAGTCCCTGGACCCATTATGTACCTCTGTAATGTTGGTGTACAGTCCCTGGACCCATTATGCACCTCTGTAATGTTGGTGTACAGTCCCTGGACCCATTATGTACCTCTGTAATGTTGGTGTACAGTCCCTGGACCCATTATGTACCTCTGTAATGTTGGTGTACAGTCCCTGAACCCATTATGTACCTCTGTAATGTTGGTGTACAGTCCCTGGACCCATTATGTACCTCTGTAATGTTGGTGTACAGTCCCTGGACCCATTATGTACCTCTGTAATATGTGACCAGATCTACCTGGGGTTCATTACTAATGCAACTTGCTCAGCTATCAAAACTTTGGGTGACTACCACCCACAGGATGGGTATGGGGTGACTACCACCCACAGGATGGGTATGGGGTGACTACCACCCACAGGATGGGTATGGGGTGACTACCACTCACAGGATGGGTATGGGGTGACTACCACCCACAGGATGGGTATGGGGTGACTACCACCCACAGGATGGGTATGGGTGACTACCACCCACAGGATGGTATGGGGTGACTACCACTCACAGGATGGGTATGGGGTGACTACCACCCACAGGATGGGTATGGGGTGACTACCACCCACAGGATGGGTATGGGGTGACTACCACCCACAGGATGGGTATGTGGGTGACTACCACCCACAGGATGGGTATGGGGTGACTACCACCCACAGGATGGGTATGGGGTGACTACCACTCACAGGATGGGTATGGGGTGACTACCACCACAGGATGGGTATGGGGTGACTACCACCCACAGGATGGGTATGGGGTGACTACCACCCACAGGATGGGTATGGTGGTGACTACCACCCACAGGATGGGTATTGGGTGACTACCACCCACAGGATGGGTATGGGGTGACTACCACCCACAGGATGGGTATTGGGTGACTACCACCCACAGGATGGGTATGGGGTGACTACCACCCACAGGATGGGTATGGGGTGACTACCACCCACAGGATGGGTATGGGGTGACTACCACCAGGTGTCCAATACTGGATGTGGTTTTTGCCCTGGATTTGGCATCTGAAACTATTTTGGGTTTCGTTCAGTTTCATTTATGAAACTAAATTGTCTCCAGTATAATTCCTTAAGCTAACGTTCGATATTTTCTATTTCTCTGACCGGTGCCTCCTTCCGTCTTTCAGTTACACTGACCCCTTTCAGCAGCTCTGTGATTCTTCAACTTCGTCTGTATAGGGAGCGTCTATCTTTTTCTAGTTTACATCTTCTCTTCCTTTTTCTTAAAGGAATGTGCCTTGAGACAGTATAATAACCTATGTGACATGTCAAGATATCTATTAACGAAAATAAGATACCAGATATACTAAGCAAATTTCCTAAATTTGCTGTAACAGATAAGTTAACTTTAGATATATAAATAAATAAAAACCCGTATGTACACCTGTTAACCCTTTTGAGGCCTAGTTCCTAGGCCCCAAAAGGGGCCTAGGAACTAGGCCACTTCGGTGGCAAAATCTAAAATCTAATCCTTGAGTAGACTTCAAGTACCACAGAGTTAATTCTTTCTTGCCAAAGGTTTGGATCCGTCTTGTTTAGGATATCTTCCCAACTTGTTTTATTTAGGACCTGGTTGACCTGATCCCACTGAATGTTTCTGTTACTGAAGTTGAATTTGGTGGAGGCTCCCTCATGACTGATCACATTATGCTGGTCAGGAGTCCAGTGCTTACATGTCTGTACTTCTGTTATGTTGTGATCTGAGTGTATTGTCTGTGATACTGTTATTTTTCATACCAGAATACAGTACCCCTGCAGAATACAGTACTCCCAGCAGAATACAGTACTCCCAGCAGAATACAGTACCCCCTGCAGAGTACAGTAACCCCTGCAGAACACAGTACCCCCTGCAGAATACGGTACCACTGCAGAACACAGTACCTCCTGCAGAGTACAGTACCCCCTGCAGAACACAGTATCCCCTGCAGAATACGGTACCACTGCAGAATACAGTACTCCCAGCAGAATACAGTACCCCCTGCAGAGTACAGTACCCCCTGCAGAGTACAGTACCCCCTGCAGAACACAGTACCCCCTGCAGAATACGGGACCACTGCAGAACACAGTACCCCCTGCAGAGTACAGTACCCCCTGCAGAGCACAGTACCCCTGCAGAATACGGTACCACTGCAGAATACAATACTCCTTGCAGAATACAGTACCCCTAGAGAACACAGTACCCCCTGCAGAATACAGTACGCCCCTGCATAATACAGTAGGGCTAGAAAGACCTCCTAACCTCCATAAAGTCTTCAATTGTCTCGTCTGAATTCGGTACAGGTTGGTCGAGGGAAGTACCCAGGGCGTCAGTACTGGCGCTGGTCACTGCCTGGTGCCTGTCACTGCCGCCTGTGCCTGCTGGGAGACGTAGAAATTAGTTGATTGGGCACCTATTTATTACTAGGTGAAGAGGGGAACCAGGTGCATGGTGGCCTATCCATGCTACTCACCTGGACTGGTGATCGAACCCACGCTCCTTTCTTTCTACTATGCCACTATCACTGTTACTCACATGACAGAATGGTAGTACCACCCAGAATAATAATACCTCCCAGGATGGTAGTACCACCCAGGATGGTAGTACCACCCAGGATGGTAGTACCACCCAGGATGGTAGTAACACCCAGGATGGTAGTACCACCCAGGATGGTAGTACCACCCAGGATGGTAGTACCACCCAGGATGGTAGTACCACCCAGGATGGTAGTACCACCCAGGATGGTAGTACCACCCAGGATGGTAGTAACACCCAGGATGGTAGTACCACCCAGGATGGTAGTACCACCCAGGATGGTAGTACCACCCAGGATGGTAGTACCACCCAGGATGGTAGTACCACCCAGGATGGTAGTACCACCCAGGATGGTAGTACCACCCTGGATGGTAGTACGTCCCAGGACGGTAGTACCTCTCAGGATGGTAGTACCTCCCAGGATGGTAGTACCTCCCAGGATGGTAGTACCTCCCAGGATGGTAGTACCTCTCAGGATGGTAGTACCTCCCAGGATGGTAGTACCACCCTGGATGGTAATACCTCCCAGGATGGTAGTACCACCCAGGATGGTAGTACCACCCAGGATGGTAGTACCACCCAGGATGGTAGTACCTCCCAGGATGGTAGTACCACCCAGGATGGTAGTACCACCCAGGATGGTAGTACCACCCAGGATGGTAGTACCTCCCAGGATGGCAGTACCTTCCAGGATGGTAGTACCTCCCAGGATGGTAGTGCCGCCCAGGATGGTAGTACCTTCCAGGATGGTAGTACCTCCCAGGATGGTAGTACCTCCCAGAATGATAGTACCACCCAGGATGGTAGTACCTCCCAGAATGGTAGTACCACCCAGGATGGTAGTACCTCCCAGGATGGTAGTACCTTCCAGGATTGTAGTACCTCCCAGGATGGTAGTACCTCCCAGGATGGTAGTACCTCCCAGAATGATAGTACCACCCAGAATGGTAGTACCTCCCAGAATGGTAGTACCTCCCAGAATGGTAGTACCTCCCAGAATGGTAGTACCTCCCAGAATGGTAGTACCTCCCAGAATGGTAGTACCTCCCAGAATGATAGTACCACCCAGGATGGTAGTACCTCCCAGAATGGTAGTACCACCCAGGATGGTAGTACCTCCCAGGATGGTAGTACCTCCCAGAATGGTAGTACCTCCCAGAATGGTAGTACCACCCAGGATGGTAGTACCTCCCAGGATGGTAGTACCTCCCAGAATGATAGTACCACCCAGATGGTAGTCAGATGGTAGTACCTCCCAGAATGGTAGTACCTCCCAGAATGGTAGTACCTCCCAGAATGGTAGTACCTCCCAGAATGGTAGTACCTCCCAGAATGGTAGTACCTCCCAGAATGGTAGTACCTCCCAGAATGGTAGTACCTCCCAGAATGGTAGTACCTCCCAGAATGGTAGTACCTCCCAGAATGGTAGTACCTCCCAGAATGGTAGTACCTCCCAGAATGGTAGTACCTCCCAGAATGGTAGTACCTCCCAGAATGGTTGTTGTTTCACACTCACATGACAGAAGGATAGTACCCCACTTGTACTCTCACACAAGTACCCCACTTGTACTCTCACACAAGTACCCCACTTGTACTCTCACACAAGTACCCCACTTGTACTCTCCCACAAGTACCCCACTTGTACTCTCCCACAATTACCCCACTTGTACTCTCACACAAGCACCCCACTTGTACTCTCCCACAAGTACCTCACTTGTACTCTCACACAAGTAACTCACCTGTACTCTGAGCAGCGCCAGACGTGGAGACTGAACCAGGTTCTTCACTAGCAAGGTTCTCTCTCCTGACCAAGTACACAGAGACCTCATCTGCCTCCTTTCTCTGCAGAACCGCCGAAACAAGAGACCATTAGGCTGTAAAATCCAACTAAATCCATAGGATTCAAAGCAGATTTACAAATGAATATCATTAAATCCCATTACCTTCTAAGATTGAAAATCTCTGGTAATTCCAGACTTTTAAGTCTTACCTGGGTTGGCTGTGTGCTCCGTGACCCGCCAGGACCAGAGTCTGGTTCCTCCACTGTTTTGTACGGTAAAACGAGAACCTGGTGAACAAGGAGAACATCAGGAGAGAACAAGTGAACACCTGAACACGGCACCAGTGTTGTGCACACAAGATAAGTCAGTTATTTGAATTAGAGCCGTTAGGCGGTAGACAGATGGTAGACAGGTGCTGGTAGACAGATGGTAGATAGAAGAAGGTAGACAAAAGATGGTAGACCGAAGACATTAGACAGAAGCTGGTAGACAGAAAATGGAACCTGGTAGTCAGAAGATGGTAGACAGAACCTGATAGACAGAAAATAGTAAACAGAACCTGATAGACAGAAAATAGTAAACAGAACCTGGTAGACAGAAAATAGTAGACAGAAGCTGGTACACATAAGATAGTAGACAGAACCTGGTAGACGAAGATGGTAGACAGAAGATAGTAGACAGAAGACAGTAGGCAGAACCTGGTAGACAGAAGATAGTAGACAGAACCTGATAGACAAAAACTTGTAGACAGAAGATAGTAGACAGACCTGGTAGACAGAACCTGGTAGACAGAACCTGGTAGGCAGAACCTGGTAGGCAGAACCTGGTCGACAGTAGTAGAAAGAACCTGGTAGACAAAAGCTGATAGACAGAACCTGGTAGACAGAAGATAGTAGACAGAACCAAATAGACAGCAACATACATTAAGGTCATCCTTCTTGGAGACATCCCCGTCGGTTCTCTCCCGTCCACTCTGCTTTTGTCCTGAGCTGGACAGTAACGACACCAACTCAGCTCCTGGACAGATGAAAATGCGTCAGTAGCCTCTCCAAAACAGATACAGCAATAGATTATTGCACTGACGGGGAAGCGGTAAACCTGTAGAGGCCATACAACACCTGGGAACTGGGAAGTAATTATGCCTCTCAATTATATTTGAACATTAAAATGGTATAAAATACCGACAGGTTGTTAGGTAAGACATATGCAACAGTTAGGTATTCAGTCTGTACTTGACTGAAGAAGCCTACTGTGTAGGCGAAACGTTTCATAATAAAGATACCTAACTGTTGCATATGTGTCTTACCTCTCAATTATACATCTTATACACTTCTTGACAGGACTCTACTTTCACTCACCCGATGAATGGGTAGAAACGTGGCTCGAAACGTGGTGGGGGGAGGTTGTGGTGTGTGTCCAGGGCCAAGAGCTGGATGGACGAGGACTTTCTGCGGTTTTGGATTGGTGGGGGGAGGTCGTCCTAGCCTGGGGTGCCTCTGTACTGCTCTGTTGGGAAGTCAGGTCACTGGTTAATACTTCAGGGGGCCAGTGCCCCCCACATCAGGGGGTCAGACCAGGCAGCATCTGAACACTTCAGAAATAAATACTCTTGAAAAGGAGCAACAGATGCAGTAAAATACAATTCTTTATTGATGTTTCGCTCACTGCTTGGGCGAAACGTTGTCAGTAAAACACTGCATTTTACTGCATATCTCTTTTTTCCATCTTAAGACTATTTCTAATAAAACTTTGCATCAGATGTCATAACTCAGACTTTATTAGTAATAAAACTCTAGTGATGGCCAAACCTTATTTAAAACACCCTTAAGGTCTATTAAGGTCTTAATTTAAGGTCTTTCCTGTTTGTAGTGACTTTAGGTACTGACCTGTATAGTGGGCGACCTGGCATTGGTTGATCTGGTTGAGACTTCCCCAGGTGATCCTAGTGGTGAGATTGAGATTAGTGTTGGTGGATGGAATATGGCTGACGCTGCGGATGACGTCTGGTAGAAGGGGCTCATGGTTCCAGTTATACTTTCAGTATAGGATACAGTCTGGAACGGCTGCCCGGCTGTTAGGGTCGACATTGGGTTGTGGATGGTGCTTAAGGGCTGGGGAGTGGGTGTAGGGCTGCCAATGTCCCTGATGTGGAGGGTTTCACGTCCCTCTGGTCCATATGATGGCGTGGTTGTAGGATTGGTGCCCTGAGATGCAACTTTCTCTCCAAAGGGGTTTTTACCACCCAGGACATGGTCGAAAAACTCACCACTGGACTCGAAGTTCATGAACCCTTCAGTGACGGCCCCTGGAGGTCCCAGATCATCCTTACTGAACCCTTGTAGGGGTTCAAAGGAGCTGCTCGACAAGAAGTTTCCATTCTGAGAGTGTGAGAGCTCGTGCTGGGGCTGGAATGAGTTGTCTAGCATGTGGGTAAGACCCAAGGAGATGGAGGACTTTTCCTTGGTATTCAGAGACGGTATTAAACTCTGAGAACCTTGACTGACAGTCTCTCGTTCAGTATTTGAAGAGTTAGAATCAGAATTCACTATTTCAAAATTTTGTTGTAGAGTTGTTGGGAACTGGTTATATATCGTTGTAGATAGTGTAGATTCGTTCTTCAACGTAGTTAATGGTTGTTGTTGTAGTTGTTGGTGTGGTTGTTGTTGCCGGTGTGGCTGTGATGGCACTTCCTGACCTGATATAATTGATGGTGAAGAACTATACTGATCGTTCTGTGATATGGGGGACGCTTGCCAAGCCTCTTGTTGTGGTAATAAGAAAATGGAACCTTGTTGATTGTCTTGTGTGGCTGAGGATAAACCAGCTTGAGATCCTTCTAAATGCGTTATGAAAAAATGGGTTTCTTGATGATCCTGAGGTGAGTGATGGGACATTGATCCTCCTGGTTGTTGTTGCTGGTTTTGCAAAGATATAAAAGCATCTTCCTCGGTTTTATTCATAGAAGAAGGCAAGTCTCCGGTGATAAACAACTGTTCTTTAGGAAAATTCAGTGAATTCATTGTGACTGGTGTTTCCACGAAGGGCTGTGAAAATTCGCCGAAAGACATCATTAATCTGGGAGAGATCGTTCACTGGAGGAGGCAGCATGAAGTCAGTGATGTCAGACCCATCAGAGATATGCGGAGGTGGCTGGAAGTCAGTGGAAAGTTGCAAATTTGGCTTATCTGACACGGAAATCTGGTAAAAGCTGCCGCTGTTCTGTTGCAAATGGCCGCCATTGCCACCATCTTCTAGTCCAGTGTAAATAACGTCTTCCAGCCTGGGGTGTGAGAACTCTGAAGGATTAACATTGATGTCAGAGATGGAATTAGCATCTCCCAGAGGCTGAGACGTCTCCAAGCCTCCATAGTAGTTAGTAGTGGAGATCTGGGAGGACTCAGGAACGTACTGAGATGGCCGTGGGACTCCTGAGTGGACCACATGCTGGGGTGTATCAGGATGATAGGACGCAGGTTGGGACGGCCTAGGACGTCCAGGATGCCTGTTATATCCTGGCCTCCATCCTACAGGCTTTCCTTTATCACGTCCTCTATGGCTGAGTTGTGGACGTTGGCGTCCACCCATAAATGGGGCCATGAGTGAGGTAAACAAACTACGTCCCACATGCGACTCACTATCTCTCATGGCTTCCCCAGAGGCTTGCCAAACCCATTTCTCATCCTGAGATATCTCATCCATCTCTCTCGTTTCCTGGGCGTCTTGTGCCCAGTGTGAATGACTGGGCATCGGGGCACCTGCATGAGGGGCGTCCTTCCTCCAGGAGGGCAGAATGCGGGGCGCAGCAGCTGAAACAGCAGCTGCAATGCCCACAGACGAGGAGGGAGGCTGGGCGCACAGTACTGCCATCAAGCCTACAGCCATAACCTACAAAACAACAGATATAACTTAGCCATGGTAGTGATGGTGGTTCATGGTATGAATACAGATAACTACCATTATCTCTGTATCGAAGGATCCATCCTCCGCTAATCCTAGTACCTTTCACTACATCCTAAACACTTATAAATCTAACCGTAGAAATTAAAAATATCGGTAACTGCATTTAGGAAATCCAATTAGAGGGACGTAGGATCGAGCCTACACGCTCTACTGCTCCGTAACATAATGCAAGTGACATTACTGTAACTCTCTCCTGGGTTGAAGAAAGTAACACTGACAGCCATCCTACGACGCTTGGATCATCCTGCCTGCTGCAGCGTGGTAGTAACAGTCTGGATGATCACCGGGGAATGGGATAACCCATTCTGGCTCTAGCAGTGACCTCAAACATATATTTGTTAGTTGTTTTGCTAGTTAACTAGCAGTAAATAGGTACCTGGGTGATAGTTGACTGTTGTGGGTGGCATCCTGGGAGAGAGAGACAGACAGAGAGACAGACATACATAGAGACAGACAGAGAGACAGACATACAGAGGACAGGCAGACAGACATACAGAGAGACAGACATACAGAGAGACAGACATACAGAGAGACAGACATACAGAGAGACAGACAGAGAGACAGACATACAGAGAGACAGGCAGAGAGACAGACATACAGAGAGAGACAGACAGACAGACATACAGAGAGACAGGCAAAGAGACAGACAGAGAGACAGACATACAGAGAGACAGGCAGAGAGACAGACAGACAGAGAGACAGACATACAGACAGACAGGCAGAGAGACAGACATACAGAGAGAGAGAGATCAATTCCCCAGTGGTAAATTTCTACTGTGACTACCTCCCTTTCACACATATAACCCTTTCTGTGTGTGTGTGTGTGTGTGTGTGTGTGTGTGTGTGTGTGTGTGTGTGTGTGTGTGTGTGTGTGTGTGTGTGTGTGTGTGTGTGTGTGGTGTGTGTGTGTGTGTGTGTGTGTGGTGTTGTGTGTGCATATTGTGTGTGTACTCACCTAGTTGTGGCTGCAGGAGTCAAGTCACAGCTCCTGGCCCTGCCTCTTCACTGGTCGCTACTAAGTCCACTCCCTCCCTGCTCCATGAGCTTTATCATACCTCTTCTTAAAGCTATGTATGGATCCTGCCTCCACTAGATCACTCTCCAGACTATTCCACTTCCTGACAACTCTATGACTAAAGAAATACTTCCTAACATCCCTGTGACTCATTTGAGTCTTCATCTTCCAACTGTGACCCCTTGTTGCTGTGTCCCATCTCTGGAACATCCTGTCTCTGTCCACCTTGTCGATTCCTCTCAGTATTTTGTAAGTCGTTATTATGTCTTCCCTGACCCTCATGTCCTTCAGTGTTGTCAGGTTGATTTCCCTTAACCTCTCCTCGTAGGACATTCCCCTTAGCTCCGGGACCAGTCTTGTTGCAAACCTTTGTACTTTCTCTAATTTCTTCACGTGCTTAACCAGGTGTCGGTTCCAAACTGGTGCTGCATACTCCAGTATGGGCCTGACGTACACGATGTGCAGACGATTCCTTACTGAGGTGCCGAAACGCTGTTTTTAGGCTTACCAGGCACCCATATGCTGCAACAGTCATTTGGTTGATGTGCACCTCAGGAGATATGTTCGGTATTATACTCACCCCAGGATTCTTTTCCTTGAGCGAGGTTTGCAGACTTTGGCCCCTTAGCCTGTACTCTGCCTGCGGTCTTCTTTGCCTTTTTGCAGTCTTCATGACTTTGCACTTGGTAGGATTAAATTCCAGAAGTCAGTTGTAGTCCTGCCTGACCCTTATCCGATTAAATTCTCCTCATTAACCTCACATCATCTGCAAACAAGGACACTTCTGAGTCTACCCATTCCGTCATGTCAATCACATACACCAGAAACAGCACCGGACCCAGGACTGACCCCTGTGGAACCCCGCTCGTCACAGGCGCCCACTGTGACGCCTAGTCACATGTGTCCCATCACTCGTTGTTGCCTTCCTATCAGGTATTCTCTGATCCATTGCAGTGCCACTCACCCAATTGACTATAAACACAGAAATACGTAATACAACTATGTTAACTAGTCATAAGTTTGCCTGTAATACTCCAGTATAGGAGCTTCAGTAGCAGCTACGTATTGTACCAAAACAATACCATTTACATTGCTAAATTTACGAGCTGTGATGCAGTTACTTAGCCTTAATACCAATATGCTCCTTAATCTGTACCAATATAGAGTTTTGAATTAATCTTAGTCTGCCTGAAATGCCTCGCCATGCTAGGTGTGACAGTGGCCCTCTCTCGCCATGCTAGGTGTGACAGTGGCCCTCTCTCGCCATGCTAGGTGTGACAGTGGCCCTCTCTCGCCATGCTAGGTGTGACAGTGGCCTCTCTCGCCATGCTAGGTGTGACAGTGGCCCTCTCTGCCATGCTAAGGTGTGACAGTGGCCCTCTCTCGCCATGCTAGGTGTGACAGTGGCCCTCTCTCGCCATGCTAGGTGTGACAGTGGCCCTCTCTCGCCATGCTAGGTGTGACAGTGGCCCTCTCTGTAATTAGTTTTATATATATAAACCACACAATATCCTATAATATGTAAACCCGACATTGTAATCTTCATAGAGAATAAATTTGATTTAAGAACATAAGAACATAAGAACGAAGGAACACTGCAGAAGGCCTACTGGCCCATGCGAGGCAGGTCCAAGTCTCCTACCGGCTTAAGCCAATGCACCCAACCTAGTCAGGTCAGGTCACATTGACTTAAGGGAGGAACACGGCAACCGACCTGGTAGCACAAGCTATCAGGTCTAACTCACACCCACCCACATCTACTCATGTATTTATCCAACCTATTTTTAAAGCTACACAACGTTCTAGCCTCTATAACGGTACTTGAGAGTTTGTTCCACTCATCCACAACTCTATTACCAAACCAGTACTTTCCTATATCCTTCCTGAATCTGAATTTTTCCAACTTAAAACCATTGCTGCGAGTCCTGTCTAGGCTAGATATTTTCAGCACACTATTTACATCCCCTTTATTTATTCCTGTCTTCCATTTATACACCTCAATCATATCCCCCCTAATTCTACGTCTTTCTAGAGAGTGCAGTTTCAGGGCCCTTAGTCTATCCTCATAGGAAGGTTTCTGATACATGGGATCAACTTTGTCATCCTCCTTTGTACATTTTCCAGAGAATTTATATCCATTCTGTAATACGGTGACCAAAACTGTGCAGCATAATCTAAATGAGGCCTAACCAAGGATGTATAGAGTTGAAGAACAACCTGAGGACTCCTATTATTTATGCTTCTTGATATGAAGCCAAGGATTCTATTAGCTTTATTGCGAACACTTATGCACTGTTGTCTTGGTTTCAGATTACTGCTAACCAGAACTCCTAAATCTTTTTCGCAATCCGTAATATTAAGATCTACATTATTTAGTTTATATGTGGCATGGTTATTGTCCTGTCCAACATTTAGAACTTTGCATTTGTCTATATTAAACTGCATCTGCCACTTCTCCGACCACTGCATCAGTCTATTTTAAATCTTCCTGGAGTGCTCGAATGTCCTCGTCAGAATGAATTCGACGGCCTATTTTGGTGTCATCGGCAAACTTGCCGATGTCGCTCTTTATGCCCTCATCTATGTCGTTTTATGTAGATTGTGAACAGCAGGGGGCCAACACTGACCCCTGTGGAACACCGCTCGTGACACTTCCCCACTCTGATTTCTCCCCATTTATGCAAACTCTCTGCTGCCTATTTGTCAACCATGCCTCTATCCAGGAAAAAATTTCTCCTCCTATTCCATGTGCTTTAATTTTCCTCAACAGTCTCTGATGTGGGACCCTGTCAAAAGCCTTACTGAAGTCCATATACACAATATCATATTCATACATGATCTACCTCCTCAAATACCTTAGTGAAAAAAGTTAATAAAATTCGTAAGGCAGGAACGCCCCTTTGTAAAACCATGCTGAGATTCGTTGATTAATTTATGCTTTTTAAGGTGGCTACGAACTGCCTCGGCAATTATTGATTCCATAAATTTTCCCACTATGGAGGTCAGGCTTATTGGTCTATAGTTCGAAGCTAAGGACCTGTCACCTGTTTTGAAAATAGGTATCACATTTGCCATTTTCCACTTATCTGGCACCATGCCAGTTTGTAGAGATATGTTGAAAAGATTAGCCAAAGGTGTGCTAAGCTCCTCTTTACATTCCTTTAGACCCTTGCATACAGTTCATCAGGGCCTGGGGATTTGTTAGGTTTTAATTTATCTATTTGCCTAAGGACCATGTCACTTGTGACCCTAATAGTGCACAGTTTATTATCGTCCTGTTCTACATAATTTATCATTACTGGAATATCGCTGGTATCCTCCTGTGTAAAAACTGAGAGGAAGTATGTGTTAAAAATTCTACACATTTCCTTATCACTGTCAGTGAGCTGACCCGAGGAACTTTTGAGTGGGCCTATCTTTTTCCCTGATCTTACTTCTGTATACCTGAAAGAATCCTTTTGGGTTAGTCTTCGATTCTCTTGCAACTTTAACCTCATAATCTCTTTTTGCTTTTCTAATTCCCTTTTTTATTTCTCTCTTTAACTGAATATATCGATTTCTCAATTGCCCCTCTCCTCTTTTGATTTGCCTATATATGCCTCTCTTTTGACCAATCAGATATTTTAATCTATTGTTCATCCATTTAGGATCATTTTTGTTTGATCTGATTTCCCTATTTGGAACATAATTTGACTGAGCAGCTAGAACTATGCCCTGGAAAGCATCATATCGGCAACCATCACCACCTACCTGACCCTTAGTCAGGTCATTCCAGTTCAGCCCACCTAAGTAATTTTTCAGTCCTATGAAATCAGCCAAGCGAAAGTCAGGGACGGAGACTTGATTGCCATTATTAGGGGAATTCCATGATATATTAAAACTGAGTGATTTGTGATCACT